CTAACCGTCCCCCCGGCCTCTAGTCACATTCCCTCTGGTACATCCCCTCCCATCCCAACCGATTCCGCAACCACAATAATAGCCATCATCAGGGCTCACACGCCCGCCGCCCGCACCAACAACAGCAGCAACATGGCGCTCAGCGATCCAACAACGCTTCAGCCGCAGCCGCCACGGCCGCCGTCTCATCATCAGCCGACTCCCTAGCAACACTACTTCTTGAGGAACACGCGCTGCAAGTCCGCAAGCAGAACATCGCTGCATTTGGATACGCGTGGATCAAACCGGCGGGATGCTCGAAGACGATGCTGGGCGTGCGGGAGGAGGAGGCGGAGAGGGAGGAAGGGGCTGCAGCGGCAGCGGCCGAGGCGGAGGCGGGGATGGATTTTGGGGCAGATGGGGCGGATTTGGTCGGTGGTGGAGGTGAGGAGGAGGGCGAGGATGGGGATACATTTGAAAGAAATTTGGATGATGATATTCCCGATGCTGATGCGGATGGGGAAGGGGAGGATGAAGCGGAGGAGGGGGATGTAGAGGGGCTGGTTGAAGAGGGAGAGGAGGGATTGGAGGAGGGGGATGCCCTGATGGAAAGAGATTTGGATGATGAGGTGCCGGATGGGTTTGGTATCGATGATGAGGAGCATGGGGATGATGAGGATGAGGATGAGGATGAGGATGGAGATGACGAAGACGAAGATGGCGATTATTTCGATAATCAGCCTGACCTCGACGATGATATACCCTCCGCACCTCTCTCCGCCTCGGGATTGAGGGATGAGGAGCACAATATGATGGAACGTGATCTCGATGCCGACATCCCCAGTCTAGCGGAGGATGGCATTGCACAGCAACAACAGTGGGAGCACACTGACACAGACGAGGATGATGAAGACGATGAGGAGGAGGAGGAGGACGCATACGCCACCGCAGATATGGAAGTGGATACCCATGCATCCCCCGCATACCATTTCCATTCAAGCAGTTCCGCCATGCCTGCCTCCTCCATACCGGATCTTCACCCGAACTCTTCCTTTATGCGCCGCGAGACAGAAGCGGAAAGTCAGTTTTTGCGGAGATGGGGTGGAGGCGGAGGTGATAACAGCCCCATTGGCTTTGAATCACCGGAAAACTTACGCAACCAACGGAGGAGGCCAAGGAGACGGTCTGCGATGACTGCATCGTCAGATAGTCTTGATTTGTAGTGGCTGCATGATATTTTTCTGCTCGGTCACCCTGTGTTGGTAATTTCTATATATTATGACTTCAAGACCACCTACCCGTTTATGAAACTTTTCACTGGAAAAGTAAAATGCTGGGGGCTGCCTCTTTATTTTCTTCGGTTTTCGCTTTATTTTGATTAACGTAGCACAGCAAGGAGTTATGGAGCAGCCAGTCTAGATGGCTATACGTCGTTCGTTATCGTAATAAACTAAATCCATGAATTCTTCTAGGCTGGGGAAGAGGGGTGGATACATCATTTTTGTCTGATGGAATGAGTTGTTGATGATGCATATGATGTTAAAGTACCCTTTAAAACCACCGTAATTCTCTTCGCGCTCGTAAATATAGACAAGGGAGTTGTGTCGGAATTGGACCTGGCGGGAGGGTGTGGTGGGAAGGGGATAAGGATATCACAGCTGAAATACATCAGTTTCTCGTATCTATTATCACTAGCATAAACATACATCGCATGGACATACATATATTACTACAACTTTCCCATAAAAAAAAAAGACCAAAAGAACAGGAAATGTAAATTCAATTGCACTTTTTTGTCTATCTGCCCGTCGTCAACCTAGACACAGCTATAGCCAAAGCATTCCATGGATCAGGAGGAAACCAAATAAGAATATAACGATAAGGACAAATCCCACGCCAGTCTAAGAGAAACAATCCAACCCAATACCCCCGCAGCTGATACCTGCCAATCTATGACTGATATTACAAAATACATCAGGTCCAAAAAGGGGACAAATCGCCCCCGCTCTTAACTCCTAGTAATTTTTTTTTTTTTTTTTTTTGGCCCTCCGCTCAAAAAGTAAGAAAGGAAGGAAGAAAATATGTTAAGCAAAGGTTGATATGTGTACATCAAAAAAGTCATATGCGACTGAGTTCGTTATCCTCAAAGTCCTGACTAAGTGGCGAGGAGGGTGCCGTGCCTTAAAAGGAAATATCCAAAATTAATATAATAATTAATTTGAAACATAATGAGAAGAAACAGTGAAACGAAACGGAAAGACACAAAGGACGAGGAAGAGCGAAACACCATTAACTTTAGGTGGTCCCTCGATGTTCGTTCATTCATGAAAATAAATAGCCGGTTTTGTGCGTGTGTGCGAGTGTGTATGGGTGAGTAGTGAAAGAAAAATCGCTTAATCCTTCTTCGTGTTCCTTTTCGTATCTCTTTCACTTCCTAGGTGCCAGCCAAGGAATGGGTTGTGAAGGCATATCCATGGATAAAATCAAAACTGACACGCAGGCGACGATGGTAGATGAATAACGGATGAGCTGGGGAGGAGGCTAGTGAATTAATATAGGTAATTGTCGTTAAAAATTAGTGGATTAGATATCATGATATTCATTGTGTGACGTTGTCGAGAGGAGAGGGAAGTGGTATTTCGTCCGCCAGGTCGAGATTTGAGTCACGGAAGAGAGACAGCAACCCATGGAGAAAATTGGTGCGGACCGGCGAGGCAAGCTGGGGAAGGTCAAGAACTGAGTTTCCCCTTTTTGTTTTCCGCATCAAAGAAAGGGTTATATGATACCCCTGGCATCCCATGGTTTATTCCCTTCCCCCATGTCCTTTATTATCCGTGATCCATGTTTGCATCTGATGTTATCCAGGCGCGGTAACGCCGACGTAAATTCATCGCCTCGCTTTCGGGGAGAATATTTGGCGTGATTCTCTATTGATTTTCCAAATTCAAGACTCCAGATTCAAAAGAGCCACACATAGGTGAAGAGCAGGAACACGGCGCAAAAGAAGCCTAACCAGACTCTCCAGCCAACGCCCGTTCTCTCAGCCATGACAAGCATCCGATTCATGGTTCCACGTAACCTCACTCTGGTACTGTCAAAGGTATCGTTCATTTTCTCGGCAAGGGCCGAGGACTCGCGGATTTCATCACCGATCGCAATGGTTATCTGTTTTTTTGTATATAAAACCATGTTAGGAACTAAATCTAGAGGGACTTTTTTGTACACGGGGAAAGTCACTAGTAAATAGAATGAGGAGTTGCTGCAAACGCATACATCTTTCAACATTTTCACTTTCGCGGACATGCCTTCAAGCTCCACTTCGTTCTGTGACTCGAGTGAGTCAAGCACTGCATCGGAATACTGGCCTCTGGATATACGATCCTGTTAGCACAAGTCACACTGTTCCATTGTATACATTCAACAAACATTCGATTAAAAACCCCATGTCTCGAATGCGACGCTCTGGAAAAAAAGGGGTCCCTTTCCCAAACATACCTCGAGTTAGGTGTTGCCACCCGATAAGACCCTGCCGAAGCACCTCTGTCTGGATTTCCATTCGGCGACCCGGAGAAGCCATATCCGCCAACTTTGCCGGCTGGCGACCTGCTTCCATGCCGAGCCCTCTCGCTGCTACCGCCACCATATGAATCGAAGAGACTCGAGGAAGCTCGAGGATCGCGCTGGTGAAGCGTGGAATGGGTGAACCTGTGAAAACGGGAGATGTTAGGAGGAGAGTGCCCATAGAAAAAGTAATGCCGATAAAATTTGTCTTTCTGTAAGACATACCTCGACGCCATTATTGCGATATCAGCATGGAACGCAAGGGACAGGCATTATTTGTGTTGGGGAAGAGAAACGGGAGAGGGTTGGACTCGACGGCACTAGCGAAGAAGCCTTTGCCAAGACATTATACGGACCTCCAAACTTTACAATGCCAATTCCATTAATAAGTTAACCACTGACGGATTGAATGGTGATTTGATGTAGGTGGATACTACGGCTACCCTAGATCACGTGCTCCCCAATCTTATTTAGTTGTTGCTCAGCTAGCTAGTTTTAATACATAACAACATTCATTCTATGAGGTTATGAGTGCTCTCTATGCAATGAAAAGCTGTAAAATAATGTGCTAATTACATCTCCATGCTTCATTAACACATGCTTAGATGCTTTTATGATAATTTAACTCATGATTAATCTCAGATTAAATTCAACATCTGATTTGATGCAGAAATACATTTTTTCAAGAAAAAAATAAAATGATCAACAAACTTCTGAGAATGAAACATCAAAGTTCAGAGAACTTTTATCAACATTGATGACAAATCATAAAACAATCTCTGATGCCTTTAAATCAGACAACACAATCAATAAATTGAATGAGTAAAACGAATCAAATAAATTGAACAAATTGAATGAAAAATTTGAGAATCTGATTGAAGATATCAATAAGATGTCAAGCAATACAAATGATCAGAGTGCTGACTCTGATTTTGCAAATGAAAAAACTCATATAAGATTAAAAATAAATCAGCTTCAGTATAAAATCAAATGAATGAAAGTAAGTAAAAATGAATCCTTTATCAGTAATGAAAAGCTCAGCACAGATTTGATAAATTATCTTCAATAGAAAAATAAAATATTTACGATAATAAAAATTTTTAATGAATTCAGAGATCAAATAAAATCTATCAAGAAGTTTATTATACTCACTGATTCTGTAAATTACTCAATGTGAAAAGAAAAGATTCTTCTTTCAGTGAAGCAATCTGAAACAGATAACATTCTTA